ACATTGGTAATAAGTGCCAAAAGTGGGATTTGAGCTCAGGTCCCCTGACTCTGAGGGAGCTAGGAGATGCAGTGAATAGAGTGCTGGCCCTGGAGTCAGGACGAGTTGAGTTCAAATCCAGCCTCAGACACGTACTAGTTGTGTGGCCCGGGGCAAGTCACTTAACCCTGTTTGCCTCGGTTTCATCTGTAAAATGAAGGAATGAGTGGGAGAAGGAAATGGCAAACCACTCCAGTATCTTTGCCAAGAAAATCCCAAAAGGGATCACAAAGAATTGGACATGACAGAAAAACAACTGAACAACAACAGCCCCTTCTGGCTCTGGAGTCACTACTACACTGTCTCAGTTTTCTTCCTATTCTAGAAGTTCTCGGAGTAAAAGATACCAATGGAGGAAGAGAAGGAAGGCAAGGCTAGAAATAAAATAAATCACAGTGAAATATTAAAGAATTACTACCCTTGGGTGAGAAGGGAAGGCGGAACTCTGAATTTTACTGATTTTCCTATTTCTTCTTTTGGCTTATGGCTCTCATAGACCTGACCCTATGGTGGCTTTCTGGTTGGCAGAGACTACTTACAATGCTAGGTTATTTTCTAGGAAGGAACAAGAGTGGGGATTGGTTGAGGAGTCACGGATCAATTTGTGTCTCAGCATTTTGTTTGAGCTCAGACTATGTACTGGGCTCTGTCATTCTAGGGTCAGTTTACTTGTAGTTTCAAGAGACTTTATCTTTTTAACACATTGTTAACTTCCAGTTGTCCCTGAATAACCCTTTTGAGAGAAGCATTGTGTTGGCAGTCACTCTTCCCAAAGAATTAATCCCATCAATTCAGGGATCTTGTAGACTAGTTCCCCTAGTTCCCTAGAGCCATAAGAATGTTCGGTGTTCTAATTCTAGTGACTTTTTAGATACAGAGTGTGATCTAGGGCAGCCCAAATTGTCCTGTCCTTGCATCCCCTCCCTCACATATACACACAATGTTTCATTCAGTCTTTTCTTCCTCATAGAACATGATCTAACGATACATTAGATGACAACAGAATAATGAATCCATCTGCCTACGTCTAGGGATCTTGCTTAGTCTCTGTTGTATAAATCTAGTCTGGAGTAAGCTGACACCATTTCCTATTAGGAAAGCCCTCACAAAATTGGAGTGAAAAGGCTGTGCCAGCATTGATTTAGTATAGGACCTTCAGGTATGTTCTCTCCCACCCCTACCCCACTCCCCTAACACAGTCAAGAGTAAAGATCTGATTCCCTGTCAAAGAGAGGGGTAGAGCAATCCCAGAGGGAAACTGACTTCTGGGAGGTAAGAGAGTATTTCGTATTTACCTGGAAAAACAAGAATCTTCTGTTTGGCAGACTTTTCCTACCTTCCTGGTCTTCTTATGCTTTATTCCCCACCACATAAGCCAGATATCCCAATCAATTGTTTCTTTATAGTAATAGTACAAAATATATACGCTAGAGAATTAGTTTGACAGGCTCTGCATCTAGCTGCATGTCATAATCCATTTTTTAATCCAATTTGTTTTTCCTGTGTGAATGGCTAGACCAGTATCTGCCATATGACTCTGATTCACTGAGATAGTTTGGGAGTCATCTAGTGCTCAGTAGCAACTAAGTGACATAATTAATAGAACATTTGGCCTGAAATTAGGAAGACGAGTTCAAATCTGGCCTCAGACACTTACTACCTTTATGCTCAGGGCAAATCACTTAGCCTCTCTGAGTCTCGGTTTCTGTAATTATAAAGTGTGTGTGTGTGTGTGTGTGTGTGTGTGTGTGTGTGTGTGTGTGTGTACATATATAAAATCACCTGCCTTCCATGAATATTCCATCTGGCACAAAGTAGGCACTTGACAAAGTTTATTCCCTTCTTTTCCCTCCCTTCCCAATGAAATTAGAATAATGTCATCTATGAATAAGAGCATTTGTAGAATGTGACCGTTAGTAAAAAAAAAAAAAATTAACTTTAGGCAAGACACAGGATGGTAGTATTATAGATTTAGAACTGGAAGGAACTTCTGAGGTCATTGAATCCTACTCCTTTATTTTGTAGATGAAGAAACTTGAGGCCCAGAAAGGGTAAGTGATTTGCCCAGGTTCACACAGTAAGTGTCTGAGGCAGGAAACCCAGGTCTTCCTGACTCCAAATTCAATACTCAATTCACTCCACTAAACTAAACTGCCTGTTATGTTCCACGACGCAAGCCAAAATGTCATTTACCAAAGTATAGCTCCCTTTGAAAAACTTACTTGATGTCAGCATCCAACAGGCTATCTAGCAAAATAATCTCTGTGATCACATATGTCACAAAGGCTTGTATAATTTTGACATGTGCTGAGACACCTAGTCTGAGAAGAGTCTGTGAGTCTGTACTTTATTCAGTGGAGTCAGATGCTTTCTTACAAAGAATTAAGTTATAAACCAGGGAGGTCTTAAAATTCTCTCCTCTTGAAAAAAATAAATCTTCCTATTCCTTTCTCTTGTTTTCATAAAGGATATCCTCAGCAGTACCAATGTGATTCTCGTAAAGATTTTATAGTCATATGATTAATGTCTCTCTTCTAACACTTTCACATTATACCTAATACTGTGCTTAATTTAGTTTCTACACTGGAAGCTGCCTATGCCGATGAAATCAGCTCATTCATTTCTTTGTGTTTATGCTTTGTGTCACTGCTGATTCCTTATGTGGACAGGAGGAGAGAAGGAAGGAAGGAAGGAGGGAAGGAAGGAAGGAACGAACAAATGAACTGGCCAGTTGGGAAACACACTCCTTTCTTTCTTTCCTTCCTTCCTTCTCTTCCCTTGTCCAGATAAGGAATCATACCCTCATCTGCAAGTGTTCTGCCCAAAGAAACACACACACAAAAGATATCTTGGAGTTTACAGGCTAGATTTCTTTTTTAAGGACCATGCCTTAAATCCAAATCACTCTGCTTGTCATCGATTGACCAGCAGTGGGTCCCAGTCCAAGCCTCATTTGGTCATTGTTTGGGCTCTTGATGGCTCAGAGTAAGCGTAAATAGCAGTTGTTTCTGTTTTGGCTGGAAACTCTGAGAGTCTTCCCCTTATAGATTGATTCTTATTTTATTAGGTAAAAGAAACCATTCTTTGCTTCATTTCTAACCTAGCCTTGAGGATGTTGCCTCAGACAAACTGAGACCTGGGAAAGACCTTAGCTTAAAAAAGCCACAGTCTCCCACTGCATCCAGGACCATCCCTAGTCGTCTTGATCTGTATCTTGCCACTGGACTCAGATGGCTCCTAAGGAGAAAGGAAGGCTGGTAACTTTGCACAGCCCTGCCTCACTTAAATCCACTTCACTTGCAAGTCATGACATCACCTTCCCAAAGTCATGGTCCCCTTCAAGAACAAAGGACAAACAACCTCGCTACTACTCTGTGCTCTCCATGAGAGGAAGACTGCATCTAACATAGCACTTATGACAGACAGTGCTTTTCAATCTACCACTAATTTACCCTTCCAACCATATTCCGCGTTTGTCCCTTTCATACACAGTCTACTCATAAAGAACAATGTAGTGTGGCAACTTACATGATTTAACCATCAATAATAATACTAGTAACTTGCATCTGAGGCTTGCAATGCACTTTGTTTAAAGTACCTTATTTGATCCTCATAACCAGCTTCTCAGTTAAGTACTACAGATATTATTCCTGTTTTACAGATGAAGAAACAGAGTGGTTAAGTGACTTACTTCCAGTCAAACAGCTATTAAGTGTCAGAAGTGGAATTTGAACTCAGGTCTCTTTTAAAAGAAATGCCAACAACCCCAAAAGAGCTGCTGCTGGTGGAGTGTACTGCACTGCTAATCTCCATTATTGTTGCTTTACAAATTCTTCAATATTCAGTGTTTCAGAAGTGGTTTAAACTGGGCTCAGTCTTTTTAATATAGTCTTTTATTGAGTGGGGATTGGTGCAGTTATTTCTGCAAATGGAAAAGGTTAGTAAGTGGGAATTTCAAGTTTTGTTACTCTCTAATCATGCCTAGATCTGTGCTGATGTCAAGAGATGCCCAGTTTTCTGCTCAACTTGGCAAATTTTTTTCTGGTTGTCTTATATATCTCTGCTCATATGCAAGTCAGATTCTGTTTCTGTGTCTCTCTCTCCCTCTCTCTCTCTCTCTCTCTCTCTCTCTCTCTCTCACACACACACACACACACACACACACACACACACACACACATTTTATTCACCCCCACACCCACTCTTCATGTAACCAAGGTAGGGTTTCAATTCATTATCATTAACTCCAAACTGTAGACAGAAAGATTGATTTTGATGTGTATTTTGAATGTATTAAATTAGCCTTGCAAATAGCCACTTGCCTCAGGCAAGTGATGATTTATATTGAGCAACTAGTAAAGAATGTGGATTTCCCTTATTTAAGTCCTTGAAGGAAAGGATACATTTTTTTTTAAGTTTGTGGGTTATTTAATTTTTTATGCATGTTTGAAATTTTCTAGTTTCTAAAATTTTCCCCAGAGCTTCAATTTTCAGAATTGTCTCTGATAAGCAGGAAAAGAAGCAGAATCCAATTAACCATACAAAATGCATACTGAGGGTTAAAGAAACTATATGATCTTCAGTTAATAAGAACCTACCACATATTCAGAGACATAGAAGCTTAAAGTTGGAAAGGTCCTTAGAGGTCATAGATGACCTACAACCTTCCAATGAAGAAATTTGATATGGAATTCAGGTTTTGATAAAACATCAACTACTCAGTTAGGAAATGTGGTAGGAGAGTGCTGAACTTTAAAATCTAATTATCCACCTTGAATTTTAACACTGCTAATCATTTGGAAATGATTCCAGAGTTTCCAGGCTCCCAAGAAACTGATTGGATAATGGAGAAACAATTGTTAAAAATGAATTCCTTTGTTTCTGTTTAATATAGTTCTTTCTCCTCTTTTTTTTTGGTCCCTCTTTCTATTCATCTTTTCTCTTCATTCTCTTCGTTTCAGGCTGAAAATGGCCCAGGAAACAGTCAACAAGTTAACAGCAGAAAAGAAGGTGGAGACAAAGAAAATCAATCCCACTGCCAGTCTGGTAATAAGATGCTTTATTCAGTGTAACCAATGTTTTCTTAATACTGAAAAAAAACCCCAAGTGTGAGGTAAACATGAAACTTTTTTAAGTTTACCTTCTTTTCCTTCTCCTCAATTAAAATGAATGCCATTACCAATAAGCTCAACCTGGTCTCTTTAGAATTCTCACACCCTTTTCTCAGTAGATCATGGGAATAGAATCATAATGCTTTATATTTCAATAATACCATGCTTTTGAAGTATCCAAAACACCTTCATATTTGAGGTCTCATTTGTTCACACTGCAGAAAAAGGGTAACCAGTATTCCTATTCAGCAGGTGAGGGAATTGAGATGCTGGAAATTTAAGCGATCTTGCTAAGTCATGAAAACAAGTGTCAAAAGCAAGGCTAAAACCCAGGCCTCCTGTTTCCCAGCACGTTGCTATGTCTCCTGGCTTATGTTGCCTCACTAAAGACAGGGCAAAATTAACATGTGAAGGGCTACACTGAAGTTCAACCCAAATGGAGTAAAAGATCTGCGAGTATAACTCAAGAAACATTTAACTGACCCTCTTCACTAGTAAATAGAAGCAAGTTTTTTAAATGGTGGGTTTTTTTTAAAAAATTAAAGGCTTTACTATCATTTTGTTTAATTGTTTCTCATGACAGCCTTGTAAGGTAGCTCCTCTGAAGTTTGGTACTATTTGTATGTAGGAGCTCAATACATGCTATTTGGTGTTGATAAGAAATAAAGAAACCATGACCCAAAGAATCTGCTTCCATTGGTTGATAGCAGAATGAGTACATGAACCCTTTAAGCTATGTTTCTTTATCTACATGCTTACGTGCCTGGGAATTTCACTTGACTGTTAGATTTCTGGCTTGTGGGTTCATGCCCTAATTTGTGTCCCAAACATCTATTGCTTTTAGTCTCTTCCATTTCCACCTTGTATATATCATTCTCCCTGCTCTCACAGACATATTTCATCCCACTAAGACACCCCATCTTTATTGAGAAGGGGAGATCATCTATTTTGTGGGGTCATTGCATTATTATAATTATAAATTGACCTCAACTAGCCGGATTCCAATTAGAAGGCATAACTTTTTTTTGGTATGGGAAGTATAAGGAAACCTATAAGATAATTCTTCATACAAGTACATAAGTAAAGAGATGGTATTTAAATTTAGATGGGTTTTTTTTTAAGTTGACTGAATTTAGAGTCAGGAGATTTGAGTTTTAATCTTGGTTGTGATATTAACTACCTGTGTGACCTTGAGCAAGTTACTTAAACCCTGACCTTCAGTTTCCTCATCATTAAAATGAGGGAATTGGAATATCTGGCCCTTAAGGACCCTTCCAGCTCTCAACCTATGTTCCTTGATACTGTGATCTCATAGATGACAGGCAGCTCTCTTTGAGGGTCCAAATTATTGTCGATTTCTCAGGGAACTTCCTCTCTCATCTTTCCATAAAAGGCCTGTTGGCCTTTTAAATATTTCTGTCCCACCCTCATGAGCAACACTCATCCCCTTAACATGTTCAATATATATCTATGTTAAACCTACAGAAAGTGTGTGTTCATTTTTCTGTTCTGTTTATACTTGTTTCTATTTATATAAACTAAACAGAGCTATATATGCCATCCATCTAGAGGGGGGGAAAATTAATGGAGAGGAAATATTGGCAGCAACAATTCAAACCGATAAAAGAATATTTACTCATGGTCTTCTGCAGATATTTTCAACCTGGCAACATGAATTTTTCATATTCCCCTAAATGATAAATCACTACTCTCCATAAAGTCCTTGGATAATGCATTTTAAGCAGTCCCTGAAAGATGGAAGGGAACAAAGAGTAGCCTGCTATCCTTTAGAACTTGCTCTGAGACCTGGAGCTGCATGAGGTTAATTCTGCAATAAGTTTTAAAAAAAAATTGGTTGGTGGACTGGATAAGGATTAGGATGACGACAGAACAGTAGGAAAGAGAATGATAAAGAAACACTCATCTCTTTGGCATGTTTCAGACAATTCAACACAGCCTTCTAGACCACATGCTTGTTGTAATTTGAGAACAGATGGAAAATTAGAGAAAGGAATGATAATAAACTCATTTTTTTCTTAAACAACAGAAAGAAAGACTGCGTCAGAAGGAAGCCAGTGTGACCACCAACTGAAAGGAGACATGAAAAGGATGACAGTGGGATTTGATAAGCTTGCATGGTGCTTTACAGGGTGACCGGTGCCCTGGAGAGCACTTGGTAGAAGACGTGGTTACCAACCATTTGCTTTTGTTCTACTTTTCCTGAAATTAGCCAAGGAAAGCTCTCCAGATCTTTGCAAAGCAAGACCCTCAAGAAGCCAGAGGAACGAGAAGCTGTTTACAGGAACAGTAGAAAGAATTCTGGTAACTACACCTTGGGGGTATCCAAAGGGATCCCCTCTGCTAAGTGACTAATGGATGCACTGTGTCTATTCAAGGCTTATTGACCAGAGCATGATATATATATGTTGCAACAGATGAAGGAGGGAGCTGTTAACAACACATCTGCCCTATAAGATCATTCTTAAGCCTTGGTCTTCACTCGCTGCTGCTTTGATGATTGACCCTACTTTAATCATGTTGGAAAGAACATGCATCCTTCTCAGAAGGGTTAAAGATTTCTATATATAAATATACCCTGTATTTTATTATTTTACTACAACTATTTTTAGAGACCCAAGACTTTGTAAATATCCCAGGTTAAAAGGTCGTTTTGCACACCAGTGGGGAGGGGAAGAAGTAGCCATAAACTCCATTCTCCTAGGAGAATGTCTAATGACTCCAGGTAGTTGGCCTGCACTAATTCCCTTGTTTCAGTGTGATGACTGTTTGGTGTTCTTCCCTCTGGGTCTAGGTATGCAGGAATCCTGCATACTCAACTCCCAGAAGACAAAAAAAAATTTACCAGAACAGCTTGAGGATCAAATTCATTGCTTGTCCAGAAGAGAAAAAGTGGCAAGTACATTTTACATTTCAGACTGGTGTTTGATTATGGATGCCACAGAACAGCCTGACATGAATGGTGTAGTCCCCAAGTAAGATTTTGCTGCCAGAACAGTTTAATTAGGGAGTCCCTGGGTTCCTTCTTGCTCCTGTATCAAAAGAGATCAGGAGTCAGATGAGAAAACTTTCTCACTAACAAGTGATGTTTGTGGCAGATAGAGGTCCTCAGCATGGAAATAAATGAGCATAGGGGAAAGATCTTCCCGTCCAAAAGAAAAAAATGGATAAGTAGGCTACTCTTGTTTTGTTTTGTTTTATGAACCTGAGAAACTAAGAGTAGCTACTGGGACATGAGTCATGATGATACGGTTGTGAGCCCAGGGAAAACCCATCACGGACCCTTCCCCTGACCTGACGACCGTTACTCCCCTTGTTTGCCCTTTGGTTCTCAGGTAGAAAGCATGGGACAGGGAGGAAAGTAAAGAGAGGTTTTAGGTGATGTTTTTGAAGACAGTAAAGCTTCCTCTGCTGATCAGTAGGGGACCATCTAGAAGCAAGAAATACCCCGTGAGTGCCTTTTCCCTCCCTACTGCCTCTGATATCCATCGCCCTTCTCCTCAGGCTCCTAGACCATTCCTCCTTGTCAGGTCCCTGAGTCTCTCTCCATTGTGTGGTCCCCACCAACCTGCCAGTCAGCAATCCTTTCAGGAATTGTTGCGAATAGAAGCATCTAATAAAAATACCACCTCATCCTTAACACAGTTTTTATCTCTAAGGAGTTTTTAAAAATGCATGATGAAGGTCAAATCAAAGCATAGGAAGCATACTCACACAGGTGCTAATTGTTTTCTTTACGCTGCCAGAAAAAAAAAAAAGGAAAATGATTAGCTTTTTGTACTCCCAAATAAAGTGCTAGGACAATCAAGGTAAAACATCTATGCAGAACTATGAAGGATTTACTAGATCTCTTAGTTAAAGAGACTTCTATCACTGAGTTCTTATGTTTCCTATTCTGTCTCATTCAGATGTGATGAGATCTCTGGGAATTTATCAACTAATAAATTTGATGGTAGTGACCCTTTTAAAACAAAGGTCATCCAGTACTGTCGGGAGTTCCTCCTGGTATTTACACGTGGAAGAAGAGTGTCCATTTAGCCCTATTCAACCTAGATCAGTGTAAATTTTAACTTGATGAGAGGATTGCAGAAGGGAAATCACTATACAGTTAGACTTACTCTGCTATTGCCAGAGAGATTCCCTGGACCAAGAAGTAGAATATTGAAAAGAACAAATGCTTTAAGGCAATTAGGATTGCCATATTCCCCCCAAAAAGAACATCTTCTCAAACAGCTAAAGGCTAGAGAGGGAGAGCAAGCAAGTAGCTGAACAGACAGTTAGGCAAATGAAGCCCAAGTTACTGGCAGTCCTACCTTTATCTTGGTTGAAGCAATAGAACTTGAGAGTAAAAGAAAAAAAATTACTGAAAGAGTGAGAGGCTTTTGCCTTCATCCTGCTGCCACTGATAAAACCTGATGGACTGGTCACCTCCAGCCAAATGTAGCACATTATATTAATACTTCATACTACTGTTGCCCCTGTCTCTATTACCCTTCCCCAGTTTGTCAGTGTATTCACCATTGAAAAGAGGCCTCAGGTTAAAAGGAGCCCCAACTATTCCTCCCAAGAAGCACAGACTGAAGCCCTAGTTGATAGTCTACAAATGTCAGCTGCTAGACCCTTCTAAATGAGCACACCTTAACACAAGATTGGAGAGGAGGTACAGTAAGGTTCCTAAGATGTCTGTCATAGAGCTACTTTGGATTTGCCTGAAGCCCAGAGATCAATAGATGAGTTTATGATCAAAGATGTAGACGTATAAGCCATTGTGAGAGCTAGGTGTAGTAAAAACCAAATCTACGATTGATGGATATGTTTGTGTATGTGTGCATGTGACTACCCCAAAGTGAGGAAGAATAAGGGGAAACTCATCCAGAACACGGGACATTTCCGAAGAGGAGGGGAGCTATTGCAGCTGCTGAATTCCCTACTCACTTTTCAGTGGAAATGCCCATATACTTCTAAGGGAAGGAGTTGCTAACAACAGCATATCTTCCTATCCCTCAAAAAAAAATATATATATATACATATATACATATACATATATATATATATATATACACATATACATATACATATATATATATACACACTTCAGCTGCGTATGGAGTAGGCAGGGAACTGGGTTCATGGTATCCAACTCTCCCTCAACCCAGTAGAAAGGGCAAATTGTTAGTAACTACCATCACCTGACCAACCAGATCCAGAATCCAAAACTAGATCAAATGGTCAAATGTGACCATCCACTTAAGTACTCGTAAGGTAACAGCTTCTGAGCATGTCCCCCCCTTACCCAAGGAGCATGCTAATATCCTTGTAGCCAGTTTCTTGGTGCCATAAATCCCAAGTCTGCATGTTTACTGAAGTCCAGATTCTTACAAAAACTGATTGCAATAAGCATTGATTGCTGGACATGTATATGATGCTTACATATGTTATTGCCTATCCAGGTACAAAGGCAAGAAAGCCATAACAGGCCACAGAATAACCTGTATCATATTATAAAGAATATTAGAAGGTGGGCTCTCTCTTGCATACAGACTTCTAATCCAAGTTGGAAAGGAAAGAGGAAAAGCCAAGTGTGGGTAAATAAGAATGGAAATATGAGTGCTAGATGGCATTTCACAGCCTAGCATCTCAATACCTGGTGACAAAACATGGGAAGAAAATGGTCAATCATGACAATCATCTCGTGCAACAAGAAGGTGCCTTTTAAGCAACTGAGCCCTGTTTATAGGAAGTGCCTTCAGAGACCCATAGCAACTTGCTAGGGCACCCAAGGCAAGGGAAAACATGAAATCTGGAAAATAACAGAGGGAAATCCTGCATTTTTCCAACTGAAATGGATTCTATCTTAGAGTTAGCAAAGGGAATGAACACATGATTTTTCAATGAATATACAGAAATCACTGCAGGTCTGGGGTTGAACTAGGTGATCTTTAAGACCATTTCTAGCTTTCATGGTCTCTATGGAGTCCCTTCAGTGAGGTAACCACTTTCACATTAAAATCTCAAAGCCTACTACTGAGAAAATTGGAGAAAGTGCACTTATTAGGAGAAAAAATTGATATATGGGGGACTGTGAATGACTTTAAAACTTTAATGATATTGATGGAATGGTCACTGTTATTTTCCCAAGGACCAGTTGTAGATGAAATAGGAGAGCTACAGGTATACTCGAATAACAGTTTGCCTGTGAGTTACAAATCTCACCATAGATTTTGCATCCTGTTCTCAGGCAGTTTTCGACATAATTTTATTATTGCTTCTCTAGATGTTTCCATTACTTGCTTTCTCCCACTATTGTTCCCAACCTTGATGGTTTATAATATAAAAGTATACAACAGAAAGAAAATATAAATCTTAGGTCATACAAAGGTAGGGCAAACTCCAGGATTCTACTTGGAATAAAGGAAGCAGGACACCAAAGGACTTGGTTATTACACAGGATGTGTACCCACCATCAACCCTGAATCATAAACAGTGGGTAGAAAGCAAATCCCTATTGTAAGATATGTGAGATCTCATCTTGTATAAGCAATGAATTTAAACAGTTGTGATTACCTGATGATTCTGAGCAGAGTAGTCCCCAACCCCTGTTTGAAGCATCTATATAAGTAAACATGAACTGTTTGTAGTCTAGATGTGAATACTTAGGATGGTGGAAGCCAATTCCATTTGAAAAGTCTATATACAGGGCCAAACAACATATTATGATGCAAAAAGCCATGGACTGAGTTTGAGACCTTGCTCTGCTATTAATTGTTATGTGACATTGAACAAAGCAACCTTCCTAGACTTCACTTTCTCCATCATCAAGACAAAAGAGTTGGACTACTTAAATGTCCACTCTACTCCCAAATGCTATAATACCAAGACAAAGAGGTAGAACAAATCTCTTTTAAATTGATACCATTCAGCACTCCAAAGAAAATCTCAAGATCAAGTCCTGAACTTTGTCTTAAATTTGTTGGAACACAAAATTACTTCAAACTCCTCTTAATGGATAGTGAGGTCAACTTTAAGTTTGTATTATTGGACTAATGTTGTTATAATTGAAGTGTGGCATTGGCAAGAGAATAAGAAAAGAGCAAGATGTATCCCCGAAGTCATTGTAAGTTTTTGTATTTGTCAAAAATTTCATGATCATTCATCCAAATAGAGTGGTGTTTCTTTTCCCATGTCCTCTTCTCTGTCATGTTGGTTTGTAATAAGCCTTTCATTTTCATTTTCAGCACTTGCAGGCTTGACTCTACTTTTAATGGAATGTTGTCAACAGTTAGTGATTGTTTAGCACAGAATTTGGTGCTAGAGCCTTTGTTATGCAAAAAATAGTATGGTCAATAAAGACACTAAGTAACATTTAAAGTGAACAGACTCCCTCAAGATTAGACTAGAATTTCTTCCTTAGGTAGTGGTTCCATTTTGATTATTTAATTGGCCTACATCCTAACTATGGCTACTCAGGAGTGGCTTGCAAAAGTGTGGAATATCCAGAGGGCATGGACCCCATACACATTATAAAGTCCAATGATCGTGCTTCAAACATCCGTCAGTTGACCTTTTGAAACCCTGATGTAGTAGGAGAATGGGATGAGACAGTGAATGTAAGAAACCAAACTACTGATTTCATTCCCTTTACTTCTTGGTCATAATAAGAAACTTGCCCCTACCCTATCCCAAAGAGCCCCTGGGGTTGACATGCATGTGAAATAAGTCCCATATGGTCAAACTAATCTGGAGTTCAACACACGTGGCCAGTTTGAGTCTTTTCAAAATGCAAAATAACCAAAGTTGTTGTTGGATAGCTTTCCACTTTCAAGCCACATGGAGAAATAATTCCATCTGCTTAGAAACCTCCCTCAGCATTGGCCAAGAATTGCACATGAAGAAAAAGCACCTTCAAAAATGGGAGCCAATAAATATTTGATCATCCTTTTTTATCAATGTAACATGATATTTGCAATTCCATCAATTTGCAATTGATTTCAGGCATAGTCACTCTGAGTGACAGGGAGGCAAGTTCTTCTTGTTATTGGGCAATGACGCAAATGTATTTCTATACAGCCTGTTAGCTGTTGACACTTTGTTTGAGGCACTGAATTCCTATTTCACAATTTTTATTTCCCTCCCAAGAAGCAGTCAAAAGTCTCACATTCTCTAGATTAACGCCTTACTGGAAGTTACCAAATTTAAGATGCTCTTAATATGTCAGACTTGAAGCCAATTTAGTAGGCTTATTTTTTTTTTTGCTTAAGATTCCTGATCAACACTATGATGTGAATTTATCAAAGACATGTAGAGCATTAAAATTTTTATGAAAATGAAGCAGTAGAAATGCAAGTGAGATCAAGCCAACCGGAGATGTTTCATACTCATCCAAACCAGGGGGGAAGCTTTCTTTTTCCAAGAGTTGTGCAGGATCGGTAACCAATGGAGAAGACGGTGAAAAATCCCACACTTCACTTCTTCTCAAAGGTGAACTTCACCTGGCTTATCACTTTTGTTATCTTCCTCCTCACCTCAAGGTTTGTCTCCTTGTCCTCCCATAAACTGCCTCCCGAACCTATAGCAAATAACTGGCTTGACTGACTCTTTGTTGACCTACCTCAAAGATTTTTTTTTCTCCTACTTCTTATTCTCTAGAATATGTTCTCAGAGAACTTACTCTGGTGTTTTATAGTCCACTTCTGTCCTGAGTATAAACTGACTTAGGATTGAATTGCACATTTTATCTTAGAAGCATTTGTTAAAGAATATTTTCTGCATTCAATGTGCTGGGAAAGGTAGCAGAATTGATTTCAGTTCTTAGACAAAGTGATAGATGAATCTGCCCATTTATCTTGCCACACCACCTTCCCATAAAATGTCCTATTTCCTATCTTCTCCAAAATGCTAAGAATGCTTGTATCTGTCCTTTGATCTTAGCCTGATCAAAATATTTCTGTAGGCTATTTTTTTATGCATTGGGTGAAACTTGATACAAGTGTGCTAGTAAAATGTCAGTGAATCTACAGTTTCTAGCTAGCTTTCCCCTGAGGAATTTGGCAACCTTTAGTATAAGATTAATATATTCCTCCTCATGTGAGCCATCACCTATGCTGAGAAATAACTCTCATAATCCTCCTACCTTTATAAAAACTGGGGTACTGTCACCCTGAAGAAGGGGAATACCTAAATATAAAGTAAGCATTTCTTCAAGATTAGAACATGCATTGCCAATACATTGTTGTATACTTAGCATATCAAGCATGGAATCATGAAAATATTTTCAGGAATGTACGAATAGGAATTGTCAACAGCCCTGGCAAAGTTCAACATACTTTCCTCTGTTCTCACTGAAATTTTCCCTTCTATTAGCATCTCATGGACTATAAGCATTTTTATCTATTCAACTGCCTGCTTTCATTTTCCAGGTTCAACTTTCCGAAACAAAAAGGTGATTCCTGCAAATAATTGGGCATAGGGAAATGTCTCTGAGTGGATATATATAAGCCTCTGTAAAGACATTGATCAGATATACATAGTACCTATCTTCTCCACTATTTGGTCTTCATTCCATTCAGAGCTATAGAATGAAGATGGGTAACAAAGTTTTATGGGTACTTTCTCCTTTCCATTGAGAGACTAAAAGTTCTACCAAAATCTTTATATGTAAGACCAGTTTGGGGAGAGCATGAATAGTTCAATTTTTAATCCTTCATTTCTGACATATGTAGAGTTGCTACCTTGCTTTTTGTCTGCTTTTCAAAACATGGCCACCTCCTGATTATGACGTGCCTAAACCAAAAGTTTCCATTTCTCCTTCTTGTAGCACTTTAATAGGCATTTTTCTTGAACTGTCTTCACTGGCCCAATGCAATGTAGGTTTGACTCTACTTCCTTGTACAAAATGAATGGATAGATGTCATTGCACCTTCCTTGCAGGCATTATAATTCTCTCTGTCAGCAGTTTCCCAAGGCATAAATAATGCGATCCTCACATAGAAGCTTCATTTAAAAATCGTGATAAGTATTCAGTAAAACTCACCAATCTGAAATATGCTTCCAAGAAGAGAAAGAATAGTTTTTTAGTTAGATTTTTTTTTCCAGGAATGTTCTAAGAAAAAAAAATGACAATTAATGCTCAATTTCTCTTTTTTGACTTGGGTTTCAGTATGAATACCAAGTCAACAATGGGGATCAGGTTGTCTCCAAATTTACTCCGAGGGGCCTATGCCTTAGCCAGGAAAATAAGCACTGCTCTATATGCCCAGGACCTCAATGAAATCAGGGATAGGTTCTAATGGAAATCAGGAGGTGCACCTGAAAAGATGGAATAATCTTGGCCTCTCATATCTGTCTTTCTGTGTTTCGTTTTCATGGGATCCCGTATCTGAGGAATCAAATGCTTTGTTCTAGCCAGATGCTATCTTTTCTTAGCTGGGAACTGGGAGATGGCGCACGGCAGAAAGAGGATGGGAAGAGATAGGAAGTAGAGCATATGGAAAATTGGATACAGAGCAAACACAGATTTTTCAGACCAATAAACTTTTAGTGGCCCCATGGTTTTTGTACATTCTCTGCAAAGAGTAAGATGTGATTTCTGATGAGTGAGATCTCTGCAGTGAGATGTAGTGTGCAAACTTCTGTGTGAGAGTTCAGTAAGCCTTTGGTGGGAGCCAAAGAGTGCCCTGAATACCCCATTGTCCTTGGTGTTGATCACTTGCTGGAAATGTGCTGAAATGGCAGATGTCACAATGAAACTGGCCTATGTTTGCTTTGATTAGTCAGTTAAAGGTACATGTTTACTGGTCCGGTTCCAGTTTCTCTGATCATCTCCCACTGAATTTCCAAGACTCCTTTGGTCATTGGCAGGTTGCTTCATTTTGCTTCTTCCCTTTTGAGGTTTCTCCCACCGTCACCCTTCCCCTTGTACTTCACAGCTGTTATTTCTTTACTATTACAATCTCTCTAGGCCTCGGCTCTTTCCATCTCTTCCTATCATAAATAACTTTCCCCTTCATTCTCTGCTTCATCCCCACGCTTCCTGCACTTCAGTTCCAATTCCTTCTCCCTCTTGACAACACCTTTCATGCCAAAGGATGCCCACAGGACAGTTATTGACCTAGCCAATTCTACATTGTTGTACCTCTTGGTAGGGTTATTGTTGCCTCAACACTTCAGAGACCTGCTTACACTAAACATGCCTTCAAACACACAGAGAATCAGGAAAACAAATGGGGGAAAACTTTATTGGTCTGACTTTTTCTTTTTTATTTTTGACCTGGCTTTAAAAATAAAGCAAAATAAATAAAGATTTGCTTTATTTTAATGGGAGATTAATCTATTCCAGGACTACTTGGCTTTCATTTGGGTTAGAAATGAATTTTAGTAGAAGTTATGGCACAGTTTGGGTAAGAGGAGGAATAGTTATTTGAAAAATCAAACTTACGTGATCTTAAGTAGTTAAAAACTTAATAAGTTAATTGGATTCAGGTACATTTCCTTTAAAATATTAAATGTATATGTATTTCTAACCTATATTTGCACATTTAATTTTGTAAAAGCTAAGAAATGATTATGAGTTGGATTTGTAAACATCCTTTACAACCAAATGAAGTATTTATTTTTAAAAAGAAAGGGTGAAGGAATTATTGTTGGTTTGTATATAATGAAAATATAGATATATATTTTCCTCCTTGACACTGCTATTCACCATATTAAGTGTATTTTTGTATGTAAAATATATTGGTTAGATGTTATAGATTGTCTACTCAAAGAATTCAATCTCCAATGTAGCTATTATTTATCCTGTGTTATTCATACTATTAATGTTTTAGCCTTCTTTCAATTTGTTTTAAGAGATAGAACCTATTTTTTTTTAATTTGCAGAGAACTACGTTGATGGCTTAGAGATGTAAATTTCTTAAGGTTATTTTAATAAATGTTTTCATGTGTTCCAGGTGTGTAGTACAAATTCATTCTCTATTTTCACTTAAAATAGTAGCTTACAAATCTGGGCAACTTTTTCATTCGTTTCTTAAGCTCATTATTGCCACAACCTCCTGTTTACTACCTAAGTGAATCTGAAAAAGTTCACCATTTCCATTTTTCTTTCCATCTTACACATTTTTCTTAAGAATCTACATCTTTGCCTTCTGTATTCTAACTCTACCCACAAATGGTCTTCTTGTAGCTGCAGTCAAGATTAAGCACTAACTGAGCCCCACCATTCATTTTTTTTCTAAATTGGACTACCTTAAAGGCAGCCTCTATCCTGAATAATAAAATGGCAGGAGAAACAGGAGTTGGAGACTCAAAAGTTCATGCATGTAGGAACAGGAGGAAATGTATATGTTGTGACAAAACAAAAAGAAAATTATGTTCAAACTCTGCAATAAAGGCATGCATTGGGTTAATTTGATAAGCAGTAAGCTATAAAATTCAACAAAAGTGTAGTTGGCAAATCTAATATGCATAGCAAAACATATCCCACTGTGTTTAAAGGTAACTCAATAAATTAACACCTAATTACCACTGGAGAAGAATTTCTATTCTATCTTTAGGAAATCTTAATTATGAAATCATGGAGTTGAAAAATATCTTACAAGTCATCTAGTCCAACCCCTTTATTTTACAAATAAGGAAATTAAGTTACATAAATTGCCCAAGATCGTATAAAGAAGTTATATAAATTAGACAAGATAAGATTGAAACCTAGGTCTCCTAACTACTAAGCTTATTCTTGATCCACCACACTGTCTTCCTCTCAACAAATTAAGACTTCCTCCTTTTTATCTAGATATACAATTATGTTAGTGTAGCCAGAGCGAAAACCTAGCTTGTAGTTTGGAACTTGGGACACCAGAATCCTAGAGTGATACCAGATCACATGGATTCCAGCAACCCTAATGATGATGGTGACCTCTAACCAAGAACCAACAAGTATATTGGGGGAAAGGGATTGTTGAGAATCTTTTGACAAAAGGAAAATCTCCATGGCACTCAAAGTCCAAGAAGAAGAAATATCTAAGGGGCAGCTAGGTGGCGAGTTGATAGAGCACTGACCATGAAGTCAGGAGGACCTGAGTTCAAATCTGGACTCAGATACTTGACACTAGCTGTGTGACCCGGGGCAAGTCATTTAATCCCATTTGCCTAGCCAAAAAAGAAAAAAAAGTATCTAACAAATTGTGGAGGTTTTTCTCCTATAGTTCAGCCAAATAGTTCAGCTTTTCTTCCTAGGTAACCTGATGAAAAGAGGTGAAGGTGTATTGAGCTATAAAGATACATTTTCTTATGTTTCTGCACCACCCTCTGATGCATAAGCCTTCCATTAGACCAGGAAGGCAGAGAAAAAAGTTTATGGTGTAGATAAGGGGTGGAGAACCTGTGACCTTCTAGATCTTTAAGTGCAGCCTTTTGACTGAATCCAAATTCTTGAGGCCTTAGCACTTAAGGATTTAGAAGGCCACATATGACCTCAAGGTCACAGGTTCCCTCCCCCACCCCATGTAGATCATAATTTCCCAACATGAAAATATGGTTTTGCAGACTTCTTATGTCCCCTCCCAATGCATTTATACAACTCCTCTGTGATTCTGAGATCCATAAATTTTTAAAGTTGGAAGAGACTCAGAGGCCATCTAGTCCATGTGCACCTGAACAATAATTTCCATGACAACATATTCAAAATGTAGTCTTCTAGCCTTGCTTGAAGACCTCCAGTAAGGAGAAAAACCCATTCCTCCAAAAGCAGCTCATTCCTCTTTGGGATAGCTCTAAATTTCATCAAATGTAAATCTGCATCTTTGCAGCTTCCACCCAGTGCTCTTACTTCTTCCCTTTGGGACCAAGGAGAACAATTCTAATCCCTCTCCCAAATGGCAGTCCTTCAAGTACTTGAAGAAAGCCATCACGTCTTCTGTTCTCCAGGCCAAACTTCCCCAGGCCCTGCAACTCATTCATATATGGCAGTCCCTTGAGGCCCTTCACCATCCCAGTGGTTCTCTAGACATTCCACCATGTATCAGTGTCTTTCCCAGAGCAGAAATACTGATTAAGCTGCATCTGAACTAATTAAGCTCATCATTACAGTCTTTCATGAGCTTTTGGTATCCTGAGAGTGTCATCTAGTTATGTTAACTGTATTTTCTTTGTGTCATCTGCAAATCTGAAAAACATGCCACTTATTACTTTATCCAAGTGATTGATGAAAGTGTTGAACGTGCAAGGGCAAAGGAAAGATTACTGAGACATTCTACTAGAACCCTCCCTCCAAATTGGCATCAATTTATTAATGATTACTTTTAGGATCCAGTCAGGTTCTGGCTCATTTCCTATATCTGAATTTACATTCTTCAAGATTCTAGATAGATGATAAGTAGATAGATAGATAGACAGATAGATAGATAGATAGACAGGTAGATAGATAGATAGATATTATTCTGAATTTAAGAAATAAACATTTCCATAACGTAGCAGAATAGAAAAAAAGATGATTTCATGTGAAACTGTAAATCTATTATATACAATTTGCTATTCTTTTAAAATATGTATTAAAGTTATCATGTAACTTTTTTCCCTTTTTTCTTCCCTCCCTCCTACCCTATAGATGGCTACCATTAGACACAAAATATGTGTGTATTTGTATATATGTGTATATATACACATATTCACATATATATGCATATATATGTAAAATCATTCTATACATACTTTGTATTTATCAGTTCTTTCTCTGGATGCAAATAGCATTTTCCTTCATAATAGGTCCTACTGTAGTTAATTTGGATATTTACAATAGTCAAAATGAAGATTCTTTCTCTGTTGTCAAACTGAACACAATTCACGCAAACAGTTTTATATTCTTTGATATTTGTCTCTTGACCTACACAGTATTAGTAACCAAACTCTACTTACAGCTACGTTAATACTGGATAGGATCTTTCCCCACTTCATCCCACCCTTTCCCCACCCCTACCCCAGTCCCACCCAACATTATAGAAGAAATCAATAAATTCTTGAGTTTTACAAATGTGCATCTCAAAATTCCTCCTTTTTCCTCTTCTTTTATCTTTGGTCTTCAAATGATTTCCCAGCAACTACTTTCCTGAGCAGGAGTGTCTCTTAGCTCAGAGGCTAACACCACCATAATGTTATAAATATCAAAGGAGAAAAGAAGAAAACATGTGATGCCAAGTTCTATTCCTAGGGGATAAGCATTTTTTTTTAAGTCTGTGGCCAGCAGCCAAGACTATCAGTCTGAAGTGTGGTCATGGCTGAGAGGTAAATTAAAAGATTGATGTGTATTTTACTGACTTCCCGCCCTGTTCACAGACACAAGCACAGTGCAGTTCATACACTGCAAGATGAGATGCATATATTCATATATATTTAAGTTCCTATTACCACAGCTACTGCTACTCTATATTTTTGCTTGTAAAATGAGTGACAAGACTTTATATATGTTCCTTATTCTTGTTTTAGATGATTTTGTTCTCTTAAACCTCTGTCAGTCCAAGTGGGCATATGTCTACTGTACAGTTTTCTGTTAAAAGCCACATCCAGAGGCATAAGTAGGAATTATTTCACTTAGGGCAAAAACAGCTGGGCAGGGAGCAACACAGAGGACCACGTGACCAAGGATGTAGTCATATTAGAGGATGCAGTGACCTGCCCTGCCAGAAAAAACTATCCCTCCACAGATTAGAAGGCACAGAAGGGACCCTGGGAGAAGGTCACCATGGTGAGAGGAAACATATGTCTGTAGTAGCCTGAAAAGAAGTCCCAGGGAGATGCAAGCCAGTAGAGGACTGTGAGGTAAGGTATAGGAAGAAGGTGTCCTCAACTATGTCAACACCTTAGGACAAAGTCTCATCACCTTGGGGCCAATCATGACTCTTTTATCTCCAAAAGAGAATTCGATTTGCTATTACTTCTGAAAAAGTCAAAAAACTGTTTGTAAGATCCAAATACAAGGAATGAGGCCTATATATTCTATAAGATTTTAAAGAACAGCTAACAGGTTTTCTTTTTTTTTTTTTCCTGTGGGTCTTATAGGTTGGAGGAGGCTTCATCAGCATAATGTGAGATGAGATGTGAGCTGGAATTGGATTTAAATACCAAGGAAATATATGGGAAATGTTGAGTATGGGCAAGCTGGCTCAATTAATGCTTCAATGCTTTCTCTCCTATGTTTGCTTTGTCATCTGGAAGTAACCATAGAATGAATCAGCCTTGAAATATTTCTTAGATGGGAGAACAATGTCCCTACCACAGAAGAGGATATTTCAACAACAGAGATGGATCCTGCAATGCCCAATGTCCCAGGGAAGCCTAGCAAGATCTTTCTTAATAGGAACCACTGATTGGTTTTTGACCCAATTGGTGTCCATTTAGCAACATTTTAAAAATTTAATTAGGAACACAAAATACCACCTTGCTGGGAAAGGAACAACCTATTTTGTTTCTATTTCTCTGCCAAGGAGGATGATTTTTAGATTGGAAAAAAAAGAACAAAAATGGTTAATGGGAAGTTGATAAGCAATGTGTATAAGGACATAATGAGAACACCTAGCTGCCCTTAATGAATTCAAGTCACCTGACCCAGATGAACTAATTAATGTGACTGCTGAACCACTGACAGTGCCACTGACATGGGAAAATGGAGATGATACCATGTAGATGGACAAATGCCCTGAATTTTTTTTAAAGGAAAGAAAATAGAATCTGCATGCTATAGACCTGACATCAATTCCTGGGAGAATTCTTAAATAAATCATTTAAGCAAGTGGATAGGTAGATGGTTTTAGAGCATCTAGAAAAGGAGGCAGCAATTACAAAGAGCCATCACGGATTCACAAGGAGTAGGTCATGATCTCTATGTTTAAGTATTTGAAGGATAACCATTTAAAAGAGGGATTAGAGTTACCCTTTTTGGCCTTATAGAGCAGAACTAGG